AAGGACAGCATTTCCTTCTGTATAGTGGGCCGAGGGACGGAGGTCACAGCTTTGACCCTGTCTGCAGTCATGGAACGTTTTCCGTGAGACAATGTGAATCCCAAATATTGAACAGAAGTCTGACAGTACTGCATTTTCTTTGCCGATGCTTTGTGGCCAGTCTGTTGGAGGTGCTGGAGAAGCATGTGTGTAGCAGTTTGACATAGTTCCTCACTGGAGCACAGAGGAGGAGGTCATCCACGTGTGGATCAGGGTGCAGCCCTGGAGGAGTGAAGCTGTCCAGGGTAGCACGGACCACCATTGAGAAAGCAGCAGGGCTGTCTACCATGCCTTGGGGCAAACGAGTCCAAGTGTACTGCTTATTTCTATGTGTAAATGCAAATATCGGCTGTGTGTCCTCATGCACAGGTACTGAGAAAAAGACGGAACATAAATCCACCACGGTAAAATGTGTAGCTGTGGATGGAATAGATGTCAATATGCTGGGAACATCAGAGGAGGCAGAGGCCTAATGACTGCATTAATTTGCCTTAAGTCTTGTATGAAACGCCATACGCCAGGTTTGTTAGGCTTTGGCACAGGATTGACAGGAGTGTGGGCTTTATTACTCCTATAGTCAATAAATCTCCTATGATGACATCTAGAGCTGCGGCTTTTTCGGTGGAAATGGGATATTGCCTGACATATACTGGCTTGTTGCATTTCATGAGCTGTGCGTGATGAGGTGTAAAGTCAATATAAGGTAGGTTAGATCTATGTGTCGACATGGTTTAGTTATGTCGTAACCTATGTCTGAGTTATGTGACAAAACCACTGTTTGACCTTCACTTGTGTGAGCAGTTATCATGTTGTTGAACAGTGTGAGAGAAACAAAAGTGTGGCTTGTTGCATTTGTACACTTTTTTTTGGCACAGTGTGTGACGTGGAGTACCGGACAAAAGATGTTGAGTTCATTCTCTGCTGAGGCGTCCAGCTGACACAGAGGCTGTTCCTTCTCCATCAGGTCGGTACATAGGGCAGAGAAAACATAAGCTGTTATCAGTGTCAGCAAACATTTCACCCTTTGTGTTAAATTAAATACACAAATTCATTTTTGCTCTGGGTGTCTGCGGCTGCTGGAAAACTGAGCTAAATTTGCACCTCTAGCTTGTCTACCTTGTGGATTGTAAGGCTGCTTAGATGTGGAGCCAGTATTGCGTGCTTCCCGTTGTTGCCAGTTACCTTGACTGGAAGAGCTCTGCTGACGCCTAGTGGCAGGAACTTGTACTGCGTTCTGTGGTCGAGGCGCGCGTGCTTTGTTGGAGACTGCAAATCGACACTACTCTTATCTTTCCACAGCAAAAACACACATCTCTACTCTTATCCTTCCGTCCTCTGAAACTTCCTTGCTGTGCTGGAGCGGATGATCCTGCATACATTAGTTTCTCACTTTCCTCTGAGCCTTCAACATCAAAATTCAACATTATCTTAACACTTTTAGCTTTCGTGGTAGTATCTGCACTGGCCTTCAGTTTTACTGACCTGTTTTCTGGCGATAATCGTTCGGGATAGGGCTCTGGAAATAAATTAGAATGCATTGAACTTACAGTTCTTAAGTTGTAAACAAAGTCAGTCACGTAAGTACTTCCGCATGTTCTGGTTACGTAATCATGGAAGTCTTCACCGATTCGCGGACGTGAGTTGCACGTGACCGGAAGTGGGAGGCGTACTGAGCCGTTATTTTTATATATATATATATATTTTTTGGTTTTACAGTTAATTTCGATTTTTTCTCGGACCTGTCTGTGGTCTTTGAATTATTCTGACCATGTTCAGTGATTTCCAGAGGGGTTTACACGCTTTGAAGGATTTATGTTAGTATTTGCTGTGGCACAGCTGAGGTTACTTTAAATTTATTGCTAGCAATTTTTGTTTGGGTGAGCAACTTCTCACTTAACGAGCAACTTCTCGCAATACAACAGGCAACTCCCTGTGTCTTTCTGCTTTTAATTTACTTTATTCGGGGACTAAGGAAGTCGTCAGTGTATCTCTCTGGATCACTAAGTGAAACTTCGTCAGCATATCCCGTTTTTATGGATCGATCACTGAGAGAGGTATAATACGGTCTTTATAAAAATATAAAAGACGCATATTTACCTTCGTCAGCAATCCCACTTCTGACACCAAATTGAAGGGAAAATCTCCGTCCCGGTTTCCCTCCAAGGCGTGAGCACCGATAAGCAGAGTTTTGTCCTTTCCTTATAAGATTCCTAATTATTCAAAGTAACGCTCAGGTATGCCGTTCAGCAGGTTAGTTACAGCGCCGGGAGTAGCTTGGGAGAACAAGGAAACACAGACTGCTTCAGGTTGCCTTCCCAAACCAACTCAAAGGTTTATTCAGTACAAAACAGTTTATATAGAGGAAAAAAGGTTCGTGTGTCAGCAAATTCTCAGTTCAAACCGGTACAGACCAAATAAGGAAACGTCTTCCTGCCCTCTGAGCAAAGAAGTATCCTTTGTGTAGTTTATCAGTTCAGCTACAATTTATGATCATCCCAGCAAATACACTCCTAGGCATAGAATACAGAGTTCTTTCATTAGTGAATTCTGAAACAAACCACCTGGCCTTTTAACAAGCTCTTTTCTAAAAGATAAGGAAGGGAGGATGGGAGTAAGGAAGTGATCTCTGTGGTATTTTCGACCTTGGGGTACCAGCCTGTGATTCTTACACATCAATTCTTGGGTCACAGAGAAAGAGAAAAACAACTAGTAAATGGGCCTTATTGAGTAACAGTTTTCCTGTATAATATCACAATAAAACAATATCCTGTAAATGCTACCATGGTATCAAAATATCACAACAATAATATACATTATTTATTTATGAATTACTGTGTACACAAGAATAACTTAATGTATTAAGATAAACTGGCTGAAGTTTTTGTATTATTCTTGTGATTTTTTTTTATTGGCCCTATTTATTTACAGGCCAGGTGACCCTTTAGGGGTTTAAAATGCTGAGCCAATGAACGGCTGGGAGCAGGAATCTTTCTTCACTGAAGCTTCCACTTCCACGGGTCTGGTAGGAAGTTGTCCAAGCCAACAAACAAACAGACAAAAAATCCACATATCAATCACCTGGATCACCTGTTGAGAAAGAAAAAAGAGAAAACAAGCAAACAAAAGAGAGCAATATAATAAACAACATCATCGTGATGATCTATGTGAATATAACTGTAAGTACTAAATATTGAATAGTATTGTGCAGCACGTAAGATCGACAGCGCACAGTGTGCTTTGACGTAGCAGCAAAAATGCAAGGCAAGTTTATTTATATCGCACAATTCAACAACAAGGTGATCCCAAGTTCTTTACAGAACATTAAAAAACAAAAACAGATAAAAAGCATGATTTAAACGTGACGTGCCCGTGAGCTCCGCCGGCAGCCAGCTGTGCCAGAGTGACCGAGCCCCAGGCTGAGAGGCCAAAGGCACCCCACCTCCGAAGGAGCCCGAGTGAGCCCCAGGCTCCAGGCCCCGACAAGCAGTACCTGGACGCCCATCCCCAGACACAAAGAACCACCAACGCACCGATGTCTGAAGGCGTCTGCCACTGGCAGGGGGAGTGGTGGGGGGAGATAGGCCTCCATACCTTGGAGGGCCTGAGATGTCCCCAGAGAGGTGGCGTCTGATACCCGACCTGACATATGGACACAGACAAACAGGCACACACAGATACAAACATCCATTCCCACCCTCATGCTCTCATATGCAATTACTCAGCAGCAGGTAAGTGCATAGCCCCTCCTGGTAGCCCTCAATGTCTACGTGTATTTAAAATTGAGAGTGGGCAACGGCGCCAGGGGTGAGGTTGTACACCCTGATGTGATTCTGATCTTGGAAACATTAAAGACATTCATAGCCAGACTGCTGACTTTGTGTTTTTATTCAGTCGCCTAACAGAAGTGCAGTGAGAAACGATTTACCCCATCCTGATTTCTTAGCTATTTGCATATTTGCCACACTTACGTGTTTCAGATCGTGAAGCAAATTTTTATGATAGATAAAGATGACCAGAGTCAGTATAAAATAAAGCTTTTACATGTATTGCTGGGAGGTCGGCAGCTCCCTCCACTGCTTGGCCCTCTGTGAAAAACAACTGGGATCCAGCTTCCCTGTGATGCTGAAGTATATAAGTGGAAGAAAATAGATAGAAGGATGGATGATTGTATTTTGTGTACAATCGTTGAAGTGTAAAAAGGGTTGGCCCTCCGTGGTGCCCTAAGCAAAGTTTGATTTTTGGGGCCCAATAATAGTGATTAATGATCACCTACTATAAATGTATTTCATTTTCTAATGTTGATGTTGTTGTAATCCACAGTGAAAAATGTCATAAAAACAGATAACAAATTTGCAACTTTCATGAAAAATTTTTCATTAATATTTAAAAAAAACAAAAAAACTAAGCAAAACACCTCCCCTGCTGGCCACACAGAGAAACAATAGATAAAACCTGAGAGCTGCACAGTTGCAGCAGTGTTGTTTACGTCATTCTGTTGTGAGCCTGTTTTACACATCGGTGGTTTCTTATTGACGTGTAAAAGATCTGAAATCGTAGTAAATTCAGCTGCTATTGTGGGCTGCGGATGATTTACACTTAACATTTTAATAACTGGGTATTGAATGTCAGAGGCCCAATGTTCCCTCTAATTTTTCACGTGTCTGAGCGAACACACAAACTCTGAGCGGTTCCTTGGACCACTGTGAGCGACAGCAGACGTGTGCACTGTGGTCACGCCGGCATCGAATCCATCCAAGTTTCATGGTTTATTAATGTAGCCAAGTGAACTAATACTACGCATGGAAAGGGTTTAAAGAGAGGGGATTGTGTTTTTGACTGGTTGCCTGTCTACCGGAGGTCTGTTGTAGGGTTGTCATGGTGATGACTAGACCTCGCGTTTTGGGGGTATACTGTCCCTTTAAGAGCCGCCGTAAGCCAGAGCACGCATGCACTCAAGTTTGCGTCACACACTGAGCGCTGTGAGCGGGAGCACTGGAGAGTTAGAGACTGCAAAAGATTCTGTGGCTAGCTACACACGAGGTAAATGTGCTAAAAAGTGTAGCATACTGCAAAATATTGTCACCAGTGTTGTAGTAGACTGTAATTAGCTAAGCTTCTTTAGCAATGACTCCATGTTTGTGACCATTTCTGTACAGTTCTTAACGCGCGACGGGTGCATGTTTAATGGTCACGTGCTGTGAAAGGGACTGAAGAGCGGGTTGGCGTGAGTAGCTGCAGTGTCCTAACAGATTTCAAAGTTGTTAAGTTTATACTTTTACTCACTTTGCATAACTCTGTATGTTTCTGTTTGATTCAGAGGGGAGATCACTTGCTGTGTGATTCCTGCGTGTGTACTTGTCCTAGCACAGTAGCTGTGTGGAGAAACCGAAGTGAGTTCATGATGTTCTCCCATAGAAATGTATGTTTAAAAGAGAGTTTACAGTGCACTTTATTGCCAGTTGACCTGCGAAGTTGTGGGATGTAAACAATGTGTTTATTTGTTTTGTTTTCTCTTTTTTTGTTGTATTTGTTTCTTGACAGGTCACTACTGTTGTCTATACTGTTTGGATTTAACATGTACATATGATAGTTACTGCTGTCTCAGACCCTGAAAGGCAGTTTGGGCTGAGCCAGTGGAATAGTTAAATTTTGCCGTTTCACTCAAAACTACAGAATTAAAACTGTGCTCCTCCGAGTACAGTCGGAGAATAAAAAAGCCCACAAAAGAGTATTTCCTGTGTCCTGTCTCATTCCCCATGACCACATAGTTTGGTGTCAGAAGTGGGATTCTCAGGTTAGTTTTGAGTTTCAGTATAGAGAGACACAGTGAGTGGGGCTTTATAGACAACAGTAGTGGCTTAGAAGATCCCAGTCCTTCCCAGAGGGCGGCAATCGCAGTGTGGACGTCCTGAGGTGGTTCGGTGCAGTGGCAGTGGGTACAACAGGAGCCTGCTTCAGCCATTGGACGAGGAGGGCGCCTGACACAGATTTTGGACTGTTGAATCTCATCTACAAGTGACTGTGGGAATCTGCTGCAGTAAAGACTCAGAGACATTGCAGTATGTCGCAAGAGGACGAGGGGGAAGGTCCTTCAGGGGCCGGAGCTATCCCCACTGAAGACAGTCAAGCTGCCTCGTTGTTTGACAGTGCAGGTAACCCGTTGGTGGAGCTACAAACAAAGATTAACGAACTGAGTAGGAAACATGATGCTGTTATGTCTAGTATTGCTAACATGGGTAATGTTCCAACCAGATCTGTTGTGTACATTCCAAGAGAAAAGGTGATTGTACCCTTTAGTGGGGAACCAGCTAAAGATGCTTACACTGTTGATGAATTCATAGAAGAGGTGGAAAGAGCAATAAGAACTAGGGGTCTGCGTGGAGAGGATCAAACCGACTTTATCCTCTCACAGCTGAAAGGGTCTGCCCTAGAGGAAGTTAAGTTACGTATGGCAGGCCAGGTGAAGCAACCGAGTGATCTCTTTTCATATTTGAGGGAGGCATTTAGAGAGAAGCGCACCACACCACAGCTCTTGCATGCTTTCTATGCACGCCGCCAACTAGATGGGGAAGACCTGCGAGATTATTCACATGCACTCTCTCAGTTGCTCAATGCTGCAATACAGCAGTCCCCTAATGTAGTACCCAACACACAGCTGGCGCTTCGGGATCAATTCATTGAAGGTGTGCATGCCCCAAATCTTCGGCGTGAACTACGTAGGCTCACTAGGGACAAGCCTGAGTGTAGTCTCTTTGATGTTAGAGAGGAGGCAATCATGTGGACTATGGAAGATCGTCCACGCAGCACTAATGTAGCCAGACATAGAAATATAGTGAGTGACAGGCCAGATGAAAGCTGTGAAAAGACAACCTCCACCAGTGATGTACAGACAGACTTTACCATGGCTCTGCAAGAGATGGTTAAAATAATCACACAACAGGGTAAAGCCATAGGGGAGTTAACTAATGCAGTGAGGGAGCTCACAAGACAGACTGCCAGTTCTGAAGACAGTAGAGGTGTTAAAGCTAAGCCCAAGCCTAAGTACACTAGAGAGGGTCAGCCTATTTGTCTCCGATGTGAAGGGTGGGACATATGGCCAGACACTGTAATGCCCCCCGACAACCTACGAGCCAGTCTGCTCACAGTTTGATCCCAAGCACTCCTTTGGTTCCAGGTGGAGTCCTGAATGTCAGTTGGCTTTTGATACCCTCATTGACAAACTTACCACTGCACCAGTTCTAGGTTTTGCTGATCCGGCACTGCCTTACATTCTCCACACAGATGCCAGCACCACCGGATTGGGCGCCGCCCTTTACCAAGAGCAAGAGGGGAGACTTAGGGTGATAGCCTATGCTAGTAGGGGGTTGTCATCCAGTGAAAGTCGTTACCCAGCTCACAAGCTTGAATTCTTGGCACTGAAGTGGAGCGTGACAGAAAAATTTCATGATTACTTGTACGGAGCAAGCTTTACAGTGGTCACGGATAACAACCCACTTACCTATATCTTGACATCAGCAAAGTTGGATGCTACCGGCCATCGTTGGCTGGCTGCTCTTTCTACATTCTCGTTCAAGATACAGTATCGAGCAGGCAAGCAAAACCTGGACGCAGATGCACTTTCCCGTCGGCCCCATGATGGTACTTCCTCTGGGGAACCTGCTCAAAAAGATGAGGAGCTAATTAATCAGTTTACTCAACAACATCTCTCAAGCAGCAGTGATGGTGAAATATCAGCTGAAGTTGTCGATGCGATTTGCCAAAGTGGTGTTGTCAGGACCCAAGCTGAGAATAGTTTGGTCGAATCCCTGTCCATCAACACAGCAGTGCTTCCTGAGAATTACTCAGAAGATTCACATGGACTTCCTGTTATTTCCACCATATCCCATTCTGAGCTTTATGAAAAACAGAGAACTGATCCAACTCTTCAGGAGGTTATTCACCAGTTGGAGTCAGGAGAAAAAGTTCCTCTGACAGCCAGGAAAGAGCTTCCTGAAATTCCTCTTCTCCTTCGCAAACTGAACAAATTGGAGCTGATTGATGGTATCCTCTATAGGATAAGATATGAAAATGAACAACCATCATACCAACTGGTCCTTCCGACAGAACTGCGGCAAACTGTTCTCCACAGCCTCCACAATGATATGGGCCACCTGGGAGTGGAATGGACCCTTGACCTTGCCAGGACTCGGTTCTATTGGCCAAGAATGGCAGTGGATGTGGAAAATAAAATAAAAACCTGTGGCCGGTGTATTCGCCAGAAAAGCTTGCCGGAGAGAGCTGCTCCTCTGGTTAACATTCGGACATCACGTCCGCTTGAACTCATTTGTATGGATTTCCTCAGTCTCGAGCCCGATACCAGCAACACCAAAGACATCCTGGTACTGACAGATCATTTTACCAAATATGCCCTTGCCATTCCAACACCAAACCAAAAGGCAAAAACTGTGGCTAACTGTCTTTGGGAAAACTTCATTGTTTATTATGGAATTCCAGAAAGACTCCATACAGATCAAGGGCCAGACTTTGAGTCGAAATTGATAAAGGAGTTATGCACCCTGTTGGGAGTCCAAAAGTGTCACACAACACCGTACCATCCAAGAGGAAACCCAGTAGAGAGGTTTAATCGCACTCTACTGGCTATGTTGGGAACTCTTGAATCCAAACAGAAATCCAAATGGAAACAGTTTGTGAAACCACTTGTCCATGCCTACAACTGTACCAAAAATGAAGTCACTGGCTACACCCCATACGAACTAATGTTTGGACGTTGTCCTCGTCTCCCCATTGACCTCGCTTTTAATCTTCCTGTACGTGAGAAAGAACAACAGACACTTCCACAGTATGTACATGACTTAAAAGCTAGGTTGAAAGAAAGTTATCTGCTATCTTCAAAGAATGCTGCAAAGAACGCTGAGAGGAACAAGACTCGATTTGACCAACGTATTATACCGTCCAAGCTGGAAGTTGGAAGCAGAGTTTTGGTACGGAACATGAGGCTGAGGGGTAAACATAAACTTGCTGACAAATGGGAACCAGATGTCTTTGTAGTGCTGAAATGTGCCAAAGATCTCCCCGTCTACACTGTAAAACCAGAATGCAAAGACGGCCCAATTCGCACATTGCACAGAGATCTCCTTCTTCCGTGTGGGTTTCCTCCTGCAACAGAGTCAGGAACATCAGATGAGACTATTCCAATCACACCCTCTTTAACTCGTCAACAGACCAAGACACAACAGGAATCTCCTGAGTACTATGTTGAAGAGAATGTATTTGAACCGACCTTTGTCCATCTCGTCCTGCTCCCAACGGAGTTTAGAGTGGAGAAGTCTCTCAATCCCCTACAGTCTTTTCCCAGTGGTGAGGAGGAAAGACTTCCTCCAACATCTACACCTGAAATGGAATCAGCTGGAGAAGCTCTGTCAGGATCCCAGAGGGAAGAACCATTGGAGTTTGACGCTGATGAGACATCAGCACCACTGAACGACACAGGAAATCATTCCTGCCTGTGGCCATCTCCCTGTACAACGCATCCACTTAACACACTGTTTGCTGCTACAACTACACATGTTTCTTTTCCAAATATTTATTTATAAGTGACTTATGTATGTATGTATGTATATATATGTATATATTGTACTATTCTTAGTTAGCGTATTGTCTGTCTTGTCTTAATGTTGGTTTAAAATGGAGCACTGTAACAAAAAATAATTTCCCCCAGGGATCAATAAAGTATTCTGATTCTGATTCTGATTCTGATCAGGGGAAGATTTGCTTGAAATCTTACCCGAACCCATTCTTGAAACCATGTCTACAGACTTGTCCGATCCTGGAGTCTCTGACAACTTAGCGGCCGAGCCTAGTCCTGTGACATTACCAACTCTTAATTGCTCAGATTCGGTTATTGACCCCCCTCTGAGGCGGTCAACGCGTCACAGATCACCACCTAGGCGACTTCAGTATGCCCACTTAGGCAATCCATTGATATCAGTTGTTCAGTCTCTGTTTCATAGTCTGTCAGATGCTTTAACCACCGCAACCGCCAATTCTAACCCTTCAGTCGTACATATTGTGTAGTGTTGTCATGCAACGGGACGTGCATGTATTCAAGGGGGGAGGGTGTAACCCAGAGTGATTTCCTGCACTTATTTCCTGCCATTGAACGCATCACAAATGCATGACTCCAACCACATGACTTTGCTCAGCCAATCGGATGGCATGTAGGTCATAGTAAGCCTGTCCCGACTTCCTCCCGTCAGATGCGTGGAGGCAAGCCAGGTGACAGAGCTGTTGCAGGTGTGTATTGGCAAACATTTGCTTTTCCCGTTTTTTTAACACCAACTAACTTATGCAACTTAGATGCTGATTACTGTGAGCCAGAGCCATAATGTTGTTGTGCACTGAACAGAATGGAATTGGTGAGTTTGAACTTTTAATTGACTGTTTGTATTGCTACCAGCTGACCCTAATCGGCTGCTGCCGGTCCAAACAATTTGATTTTGATTTGACTGATAGTTGTTGAATAACAAATGTTGTGGAGCTACATAGTATGTATGTATGTATGTAGCAGTTGAAATGTTTTCAGTTAAA